TACCGGATGAGTTTGGTAATCTGGTCGAGTTGGGTGTGTTGAGTCTGAGGGATAATCGCTTGACCATGTTGCCGGATACAATCGGGAATTGTGAGCGGTTGCATGTGTTGGATGTGTCCGGGAATCGGCTGCCGTATCTGCCCTATACGCTGCTGCAGTTGGCGCTCAAGGCGGTGTGGTTGAGCGAGAATCAGGCGCAGCCAATGTTGACCTTCCAGACTGATACGGATCCGCATACGGGGAACACGGTGTTGACGTGTTTCCTGCTGCCGCAGCAGGAGTATCAGCCTACGATAGGTGAGTAATGCATGTGGGTTATTTTTTTGGATTGGAGATTACTGAGGTTTAATTATTTGAGGGAGGAAACATTGGGTTTACGGGTGTTCAAGTGGTAGGATTTTAAAAATTTTAAAAGATTATGAAAATATAGTTTATTGCGGATGATTTGACGCGAAAATTTGGTTTGTGTCTTTTAAATTGACAAAATGGCGGACGTTTTAAATTTAAAATCGTGTTTTTGTAATTTTTACGAGAAATTTTGGATAATTTCAAAATTTTGGGTGTTCTAGTGGTGGGATTTTAAAAATTTGAAAAGATTCGGAAAATATAGTTTATCGTGGATGATTTGACGTGAAAATTTGGTTTGTGTCTTTTAAATTGACAAAATGGCGGACGTTTGAAATTTAAAATCGGGTTTTTGCAATTTTTACGAGAAATTTTGGAAAATTTACAAATTTCGGGGGTTTTAGTGGTGGGATTTTCAAAATTTTAAAAGATTATGAAAATATAGTTAATTGCGGATGATTATACATAAAAATTAAGTTTTTGTCTTTTAAAATAANCGGATGATTATACATAAAAATTAAGTTTTTGTCTTTTAAAATAACAAAATGGCGGGCATTTTAAGTTGAAAAACAGATTTTCTTTTAAATTCGCGGTAAATTTCAGAAAATTCAAAATTCCCGGTGAACTAATGATGAGATTTTAAAAATTTAAACAGTTTTGGAAAATATATTTAATTACGCATAAATTCCGACATTAATGCGCACGCATTCGGTGAAGTTTGTCGACGCGCAGGAGCAGGACAACCGTGAGGTAAGCTCAACCAACCAGTAGTGTGCTACGGCATCTTCAGCACGCCGACTTGCGGTGTGGTGGCGGACGTTCTTCGACACTCTCTGGGAGCGGCTTACCGATTGCGTGTCGAAGACGGTCCTGCGCTCGGACAGCTATAACATGCTGCCGGCCGGCTAACAGAAACAGTATTGTCTTTTTTGAGGTTAACCACTAATCAATCCAGTAATAACTAACACCGTCATTAATTTCATTAACACATCCAGAGTGTTGGAAATGTAAATATTAAATATTAATTTATTAATCTACTAATGTAGGAATTAGTCTGTGTGTGGTTTTTTTTTTGTACGAATTTTATTTTTGTATTTAAACATTGCATGTAATATAAGTAACTTGGTAATAGAAATAGTGGGGTTTTATTTTTCTATTTCTTACTTTCTTACTCTTATACTCCTTACATATGGTGTTTGGTGTTGAAGAAATTGTAGAATATAGGCAACCAATATTTAATTATTGTGTATTGCTGGTTGCCTATGCTAGCGTGTAGTTTACATTTCCAACATGCAACCATGCATTACAACCTCCAACTCTCAACTCATTTCCATCAATGCGGCGTATTCAACGTGCGGATCAGATTAGTTAAATTAAAAGCGCGGAGAATAGTTGTACCATTGTGCAATGAATGCCTGGCGTCTGTCAGTGTTCCTAACTGTACTCCAAGTCAGTACGCGCTGTGATTCGTGACTCGACAGAAATAAAACAAAGTTCTGTGGAGCGGAACGTGGTTTTCTGTTTTTTTTTTCTTTTATGATTATTTATTTCATTTGGGAGGTTAGCGTATAGGCAACCAACACTACGTTTAGAGTGTATTGTTTTGCAGACACCCTTCGTCCGTCAGAACACCCCACATCCGCGTGAGTTGAAAGCAAAGGCGCACAAGTTATTTGCAAAGGGCCAGAATTCACTGGAGGACTCCGAGCTGCAGACCACCTCGGAAGCGCTGCCGATTATCGAGGCGGTGAATGCGCATACGAAGGAGCCGACGCCACCCCCACCTCAACCTCAAACACCACAACCACCAGCACCCTCTTTTGTTCACCAATCACAACCTTTGAATGGCCGCGAGGAGAACAGCGATCCGAGCGCCGAAGATGACACGGACGATGTGAGTTTTTTTTTGCTTTCGGTACTTTTTCGATTATAGAGGGCGTCCGGTGATCGTAGTTGCTAACCAATCTAAACCACACACGCCTAACCTCACTTTTGCACCCTGTATGTGTATGATGTGTGGACGCCATTGATGTGGTAGCGATAAGTAAGTAATTTGCGCGTGTAGGAGACGACGAGGAGACGTGTCGTCGGTTTCGTCGGCGATGGGGGTGAAGACCACGCGGATGCGGCGCGTCCGCTGCGTCTCCATCGGCGGGATACGCCGCACCATCTGAAGAATAAACGCATCAACGCCGCCGTCATCGATAAAGATAAGATGGCCTCCATTATCGCACAGGTCTATAATATTCTTGTACTGTGTGTGTTGTGTTGTTTATGATTTTTCTTTGCTTGCTTCACACTAATTCGTCTAATGTATTGACTATGTATGTGCATATTGGGTTGCCGTTGCAGTTTTGAGGTTAATTTTCTCGCGCGCGCCGCAGTAAAGAGAAAGGTGCACGTTAAGTGCTTGTTGCTTGAGTCACGACTTGGACATCATGCGCGCATGCGTTCGTGAATCAACAAAAGAGCGAAAAAGAAAAATCCATCGCGTGACCTTTAACACACGCCCAAATTAGTTTATTGTAGCGTTTACGCGTTTACAGCCTCGCATCTTCCGCGGAGGTGAAAACAAACGCGAATCGCTGCGAGTTCTAATTCTCTTGACCTTTTTGCGCCGCTGCGACGCACAGACGCATTGTCTCGTTATATCACACGCTCGTCGTATGACATCATCTCCCAGATTAGCAATCCGCGCACGGATATATTACCCGTAGAGTCACCTTAAAATTGAAAACGTTTGGAAATTGTTTCACGATTTCAATCCGTGTGTTCCCAGTCAGTGCACTTTCGTTGGAAATATTTTCGACTTTCACTCTGTTTGTTTTCGTACCTGTATCGAATTTATGTGTCCGCCATATTTCGTTACCTTTGCCATACACAAAAAAGACAATCGACAATATGGAATTTCATCCGGAGTAACCGAATCGAGTTTTAAAATAAAAAAAATTAATTACTCGCAAACCAGACGCGGTAGAATAAAAATTCTTTCAGTGGATTGTTTATAATTAAATTTTACATATTTTATGAAAATTTTAAATAAATCGCGTAATTAGAAAAAAAGTTATAACTAATTAAAGTTTAATTTCATTTTATTTTTATTTTTTGAGTATAACTTGATAAATAAATTAGTTATAAACAAAATATTCATACATTTGATAAAGAATTTAATTCCGAATCGATCTATGAACGAATCATACTTTTATCATTTTCCGTTGATGAGTAATCATCAAAAAACTGATTAAAAAACTTACTACGTATAGATTATCATAAGTAAACAAATGAATAACGCGATTATTTTTAATTTTCCAAGTTCACTTATTGAATATTTATGAGTACTTGACATTAAACAACACGTACATGTCCAATAAATGGCTCTGCGTCGAATTTAAGCAAACCTGCGCTTTTGATACGCTTGTTATGTTTAAAAATTTTTATTTTTTCTATGTATGTATGCGTGTGGTTGTAATTGTGATTGAATTTGTCATCGTATCTCTAACATGTATTTCGCTATGTTTGTCCAGGCGATCAAACGCAAGGAGGAGGACGGCAGCGATCGAACGAGCGTTTCCACTCCTCCGGAATCGGTGCGCAGCACCAGCAGTCAAGGTAAAACACGCTCACTATTATTTCAATGCGAGTAACTAACTAGTTACTCGATGACGACTTGAGTAGCAGCAGCAGCAAGCGCGGTAGTAAAATTAAAACATTGCGCGCGCGCCCAACAATTTCATCGCGCGTTCGGGTGTTATCCGTTCGTTATTCGTAATCTTATCGTGTTTGTTTAGCGCCGACAATGAGCAATGAGCAACGCGACGAGATACTGCGATAATCGCACCTCAGTCACCTCTCGGCGGTGGTCGCGTTGCATTGTTTCTGTGTTACCTTTTCCATTATCCTATTTATCCTGAATATGACGAGCACACTGCCCAAGATCCGCATACGCAGTAATGGCGGCACGGTGCATATTAAGGCCGGGACCCTGCCGAGGAATAAGGGTTCGGTGATACGGATTCGTAATCGCACGCCTACGTACCGATACGGTGGCGGAGTAGGAGTACCTGAGCATCATCGGAGTTTACAATCACTGCGGCATGTGCCAGGTAGAAAATTTCGTGCTTTTTACGAAGAAATTCGAAAAATTTTAACGATCACTACGCGTGTTGTGCTATGCATTAGAACATGTTTGTTACCAGTACAAGGTTGACTTCATTACCGAACACATGACTAATAGATTGTTTACTTGTTTGTTTCGCAGCTGGGGAATCGGACGCCACTACGAATGCATCGACCGGCGTGCCAACCGTGGAGTTACGTGAAGAAAAATACGAGATTCATATTGAACGCTCGAAGGCTGGGCTCGGTTTGTCGATAGCTGGCGGACGGGGTTCTACCCCGTTCAAGGGGCAAGATGAAGGTATCTTTATATCGCGTGTAACCGATGGAGGTCCTGCGGATTTAGCTGGGCTTCGTGTCGCTGATAAAGTGCTTACGGTTAATGAGCATTCGCTTGTTGGGGTTAGTCACTACGATGCCGTGGAAGTATTAAAAGCAGCCGGACCACTGCTGGTGTTTGAGATTAGTCGCGAAGTAACGCGGATTGTACATGATAATAGTATTGCTGTTGGTGTTGAGAGTAAAGAAGGTAAAGAGTTGAAGATTCCGTCACCGTTGCCGCCGCTGGTGAGCGATGATGATGTTGCTGTCAAGCGGGTGTCGATTCACACGACACTGATACGGGATTCACGCGGGTTGGGTTTCAGTATTGCGGGTGGGAAGGGTTCGCCGGCGTTCAAAGGTGATTCCGACGCGATTTTTGTCTCGCGGATTACCGATGGTGGTGTAGCGCAGAAGGATGGGAAACTGGCGGTGGGGGATAAGGTTATTTCGATTAATGGCGTTGATTTGACGGGGGCTTCGCATGATCAAGCCGTGGGTATGTTGACGGGGTTGGAGAGGTTTGTGAGGTTGGTGGTTGAGAGGGATATGCCGGTTAGGGATAGTCCTACGCCATCGCCAGGACCACAACAGTCACCGCGATTGTTTGGTCTGCCTAAACCTTACACCGGGTTGTATTCGGCTAATAGCTATATGGCAAACCGTCCCGGCTATTCCAGCTATCGAAGGTCTTTGGAGTTGGAGAAAAAGGTTTGTTGGATGATTTTTTAAAAGGTTTTTATTGAATATTTGTGTTTTTAGATTGATACATCGGCACCATCGCCGACACCACCGGTTGAGCACGCAAAGACCAATGGTGTGGATGCGAAGGCGCCACCCCCGCAGCCGGCGCCGCGTAAGATTCTCCCCGCGAGCAATCACAAAGTCGTCACGCCGACGTCCTCGCTGGAGGGAGACGATGCTCAGGTACTACCGAAGCCCATCACAAGCGAGGAGTTCCAAGCCATGATCCCAGCCCACTTCCTTAATCCCGCCTCCGACGGCGCCGCCAAGCGCACGCCCACCCCCCCGACGTCCGAACACACACACAATGTCACTGTCACGATCAGGAAGCCGGAGACGCCGATCGAACTGCCGCCGGCGCCGACCGGACCCGGACGCGTCACGGAGACGATCACCAAGAGTACGTTTACGGAGACGGTCGTCACGCGCATCACTGACAATACGCTCGTCACGCCCCTAATCATTGAGGTAAAGGTGTAACGGATGACGCCCTCAAAAACGCAATTCTAGTTGAGCAGCATGTATGCCGTTGTTTTGCACCAGCTTCTTGCAATCATTTTTATTTCCGAATGCGCGCGAAAAGAACATTTTCTTTAGGCGCCCGCCTTATACAATTCTATTTCTTCTTTGTTTTTTTTTTTGGTGCTGGCTTTTCTATAACACCTAACCTCATTTATCGTTAATATTGACCAATCATTTTTGAAGACTTTGAGCGTAGCTTAGTTTATTTTGGGGCCTCATCCACAAAAACTAGCAGTGAATTCGCCCACACACACACACACCTACCACCACCACCACCACCACCCAGCAAGAATACACAGGTAACGGACTTCCGGGGACACGGAGCGTCCCTTTCAAAAGTTCTTCCCTTACTACTCACTCCGCTTCTACACTCTACGTATGATACAATTAACTTTTATTTTACACCTTGAAATGACGAAATTGTTTATTATTATTATTATTCATATTATTATTTATGTATTGTTCATCTAGCGATGGTACCACACGAGGCACCGTTGAATATTTTTAAGCATCCAATTGCCTCGTGTGGTTGTTTTATTTTCGGTGTTTTGTTTATCATCTAGGATGTTACGCTGAGCAAAGCCGGTGGGTCTCTGGGCTTTAGTATTATTGGTGGTACGGATCATTCCAGCATACCTTTCGGCGTCAAGGAACCCGGCATATTTATTTCGCACGTAAGTTTTGTTCAACCATTTAATTTATTTAATAAAGCCGGGATATATTTAAATTTATGGTTGGGTATAGATGGTCCCAAGTGGGACAGCTGCCAGTTGTGGTAAACTTCGTGTCGGTGATCGTATTCTCAAGGTAAATGGCACGGATGTGACGCAAGCGACGCACCAGGAGGCTGTTATGGAATTGTTGCGGCCTGGTGATCAAATCACACTTACCATCCGCCATGATCCCCTACCGGAAGGGTACCAGGTATGTGTTTTGTTTCGTTTTTGGTTAGGTCATAAATGATTGCACAAGCTTTGTGTCTTTTCACTTTGCAAGCTTCTCGAGATTGAATATGTTAAATCACTTGTAAGTTCATCAACATTTTATGTCACTTGTGCTTACTTTTAATTATTTCCACAGGCAATGACGATTGTGAAGGAGGAGAATGAAAAACTCGGCATGCACATAAAGGGTGGTCTTCAGGGCCAACGTGGTAATCCTCTTGACAGATCCGATGAAGGCGTGTTTGTGTCGAAAGTAAACTCAGTCGGTGCAGCGCGTCGTGATGGCCGCCTGAAAACAGGCATGCGTTTACTAGAAGTAAACGGCAAGTCATTACTGGGCGCAACGCATCAGGAAGCTGTGAATACTCTGCGTAACTGCGGCGATACCATTCACATGGTCGTCTGTAAGGGTTATGATAAAGCGGAAGTTGATAGAGCTGTAGCGGAAGGACGCCTCACACGCGCTGGATCTGTCAGCAGTCGGTCACAGAGTGTAAGTTCTCTGGACATGGCTGACGATGATACAACGTCCAAGGAAGAAGCGAAGATGAAGAATGAAATTGTGCAGTTTGAGAAGGAAGACGCCGAAAAGCGGTTGAAATTAGTTGAAGATGTTAAGGAGGAGAACGAATTGGAGTTGGAAGCAGATGCGGACATGTCGCTGGTGGAAGCAAAGCCAACAACACCAGCTGATAAAGTCCTGGATGTGGTGAGAGCGGTGGAGACGCTGGCTCACAATGAAATACCCGTCGCGCCCAAATCTCCAGGGGGACCAAATAGTGAACTTAAAACAACTACGATCGTGATGAGCAAGCATACGCTCGCGGCCCAAAATGCAGCGACAACTGTAAGTAGACATCTTTTTTTTTTCGGAATCGCCATTGTTTTTTGTTTTGTTTGTATTAATGTAGCGTGTGCTTTTTGTGTGTTTATATTTCACAATTCACATGCTTGGTTGGTTTTGTTTGTTTCGTTCGTTCGTTGTTCACCATATTTTGTTTATTTCACCCGCCCGCCCTCTTGCCCCCTGCCCCCTCTATCTGGTTGATTAATTATTTTTACCAAAAAAGTGAATCATCGATGTCGTTCTCAGCATGATTGTGCAAATTATTGATGAATGATGAGATAAAGTGCGAATATTGTTGTCTTTCAGAGGTCAGCGCAGCCGTAGAAAACATTTAACGATACGTACACCACACACGTCTGATTAAATCTAAACGAATTTTGCCAAAAAAAAAAAGAAATTAATTAAACAAAGACTCATATCACGAACAATTAAAAAAAAAAGAGATCAAATTCAATGCAAGCGATGGAGGTAAATGTCCATTTTACAGTAGATTTATTTATTTTTATGTTTAAGATGTAAACTTTTTGCGTTTGAAAGTTTTTATTTCACACGACGCCATTTTGAAAGTGTTAAAGGTATAAACAGAGTATTCTATTGCGAAGTAACTAATTAATATATATATATGAAATATATTCTATGATTGTCACAATATAATTAAATTACCCAATGGTGCTTTGTTATCGATCGAAACCGAACAGCAATGATTACTCGTTACTAATTACTCGATAAGGTAATCTAATCTAAACCGAAGGCGTCACACGTCACAAGGGGTTACACTAGACAACTATGAATCAATTTGCGTTGATATTATACTAGATTTTGATAACATTTCCAAGCAAATCTGTATGTAACCCTTTGAGTACTGCCTCTAAAAGTATAAAAAAATGTTTGTTTTCAATGATAAATGATAAAAGAAATCAATGTTTCTCACTTGTGTACATGTTTTACTCTCGATTGTTGTTTGGGAATCAAAAAAACAGAAAAAACAAAACAATTTATGTGATATACGTATGGTAAATATATTTTTGGTAAAAATAATTACGCCATGTGTGTCAATCAATCAATCATTCGCACAGCACCCACACACACCAACACGCCTTTCTTCATCTTGCGAGTTTATATATTGTAACGCGCGCTATTTGTTTAATAATTGTGTTGTGTTGTTTTTACGCGCATCACCCACACGTGTTGTGTTGGCTTGCAAAAAAAAAAAGGGTGACGGCCTGCTGGCTAGTGCACACAATTTAAAGCGAGTGTTTATCCTTTAAACAGGCCAAACAACCGGAAACGACGCACCGGAAACAACCTAAATCCGATTCCTATTCTGATCATTCCCATTCTTCCCTTGAAAAAGAAAAACGAGATAAAACACCTAAAGTTGAGTTGAGACCACGAAAAGATGACTCTGATACAGATACAGGCACAGCTCTCTTGAAGAGATTGAGTGATTCCATTGAAGAAAACGAAGCGAAACGAAGATTGTTCTTTGAGAGTGTACCCCCACCACAGACGGTTGTCATTCAACCACCAATGGGTTTGTTATCGACGAGAACTTCCACTTCTTCACCTGCGTATAGGGTTATTGAAAGACCTTCACAACCACCGCCTGCTATTCCCAGTATATCACCAACTGAACGATCAAAATCGGTTGATTTTACTATTTCTGCCATGCGGCCCACACGGCCACCACCACCTCCACCGCCACAAAAGTCTTACTTTACGCTATCCTCGTCGGTAGTTAAAGATAACGACAAAGAGAAACGTGTTTTGCATCATCCAGAGATTATCTACGCTAATATACCGATGAGAGAGGCACCTCCGCCGCCATTACCACCGAAAACACCTCGGAGGGTATCGTTTGATGATCGTGTTACCACAATCGGAGCAATTTCAATACCGGATATTAAAGTTGACACCGAGGAGGTAACGCCATCTGTGGTAATGAGTAAAAATACAAACACAGAAACAAATAAACAAGAAAATAATAATTTATTAAACATTGAGATTCCCGAAAGTGAACTTGAGAGTTCCATTGAAGTAACCCGAAAGTTTCCGGGTGAGGAAGCCGAAGATGAGATTAAAACGAAATTTTATTATACGAAGATGATAAAGAGAGCTTTGAAGAGATTAGATTATGCTCCAGTGATGATAGTCTGAATAAAACCATCGTGGAAGCATCCCCTGTGAGCGCCCACAAAGAAATTGCTTTCCCGAGGACACTGAGTGTGGATGCATCCAGTGATACAGAAGGTTTTGCGAATGAAAGACGTGATACTGTTGTGGAATTAATCACTGAAAAGATAGACAAGACTGAACAATCGGAAATGGTGGATTTGTTTGCGCGTGATTTAAGCCTGGATTCCATGCCGGTGGAGGTCGCACGTCGCCATCTTGAGAAATCTCCTCAGGATCATCGTTTGTCACAGACGCTGTTAGAGTTTATTACTTTGAATGATGATGATTCGTTGGTGTTTACACCTTCGATGCTTGAATTACCCACGGGGCCACCTCCACCACCGCCGGATACATTACCACCGGATTCACCGCCGCCGGAAGTGGATATGGATGTGTTGCCGTTACCATTGCCGCCGCCTGTTGAGCAGGTGGTGGATTTTGAAGATGCGCCTGTGTTACCACCAGCGCCTCCTTCTCCCTTGCCTCCTCCTCCTAAAAGTAAAAAAACTCCGCCGCCTCCGCCTCCTCCTCCTGTGAAAAAGACAATAACGTTGAAACAAACGTGCACGACCGAAACCGACGCACTTTTGGTTACCACTAGGCACGTAGATTCGGTAAGGCGTCGCGATAAACCGCTGCGTGGTGAACAACGACGGAGCGAAACATTCTTTAAGCGTTTTTCTTTGCCCGATAAGAAGGTAAAGTACACAGAGTGAATTTTGTGTGTTGATTTCTTTAATTTTTTGTAAATTTGTTTTTATATTATGATTTGTGACGTTTTGTAGCCGCCACAATCGCCAAACAACAATTATAAAATGTCCGTGAGTGATAAAAAGAAATTCTTCGAGAATGCCATGGAGGAAAGTGTTAAATCATCGCCAAAACCAGGTTAGAATTTAAAATAACCTCAAATTTAATGTAGAAATACTAAAATTTCGTCAATTTTTAGATAAAGTATTCAGTTATTTGAGTCCGGATGAAGTGGAACGCATGAAAGCCGAAGAAGAACGAAAAATCGCCAATTTATCGCCGTCCGATATGGATTCACTTGGAATTTTAGATAATTCCGATGATGAATCAATGGAATCGCAGCCATCGAGGTTAGAATTCATATTTAATCCACAAAATGCAGAAATGTTTATTAATTTCTCTTTGTAGACCTCATAGTACCATTGGTATTATAAGGACTGCGACAGCCGAGCGTAGAATGAAGGATCGCATGCGTGAAGAAGGTTTGCTCACGGACGAAGATGAACATAACCTATCACCAGCTGAAGAGCGGACAAGGCGCGCCGAGAAACGCGCTGCATGGCGTCAAGCTCGACTTAAATCATTGGAACAGGACGCAATGCAAGCGCAAATGGTGATTAAGTCAATGACAGACATGGTGGGCGAGCGGGAAACTGCAAAGGACAACGACAATGAGGTTCGTGATATAATAATACATCGGCCATCTTAGAAGATTTAATTTTTAGAGATTTAAAACTAATTTTGATACGAATGTTATGTTGTGTATTGTATTGTATTGTATTGAAACTAACTTGAACTAACTGAAACTGTTAACTCTGGTCCGGTCATGCGCAGAGTACTAACAGCATTGCATGTGTCCAGCTGCGGCCATCATCGGCCGACTTCCCCAAGTTGGCGGTGCGCAGCACGCCAGGCAACACGACGGTGCGTGAAAGTGAGAAGATCGTCAACGAGACCGTCACGCGCAAAACCGAAGAGTACATTGACGATGCCACCGGGGAGCGACGCGTGCGCACCGTCGAGTATGTCGAGAAGCTGATCGAGAAAGAGGTAGTATAGCCCGTTGCCGCATCCGCAAAATGACAGCATGATCAAAACACACCCGCACCTGGTTAGTCTTTAACACCGAATGTTTTCTCTCTTATATCTTATTTAAATCTAATTTAATCTCTCGCTGTTGTAATACGTAGACGATTTGTAAACACACCCGTAGTGCGCATGCGCTGTGTAATTTTTTTGGAAATTTTACTGCATATGTAGACAATCTGCACCAATGTGATGGTCTAACCGATAACCATGTGACTAACCGCCATCTTGTTTCGGCCAGGTTGAGACACTACAGGAAAAAATCATATCTCTAGAACTGACCAAGCCCGATCCATTAGATGTAATCAACGGCAATAACGGTTTTACTGACGAATGCGACAAATCGGAGCAATCGACGCCGACGATCGAAGAAGAAAACAGTTTGGAGCTGGAGCTCGCGCATGCGGAGACTGCGAACGCCGGACAGAATGGCGGCGGTAAGAAAAAACGGCGCAAGCGGTCCAAGCGCGGCGGCAAGCATTAAATTCACATTTATTTCTGCATTTAATCATTTTGACATTCCACGCAAGCAGTGGAGAAACAGGTTGGGGACGCTCGGTTTTTTTAAATTATTATTCTTGTACAAAGAAGTATTTTATTCATATTTCATGATGAATTTTTAATCTTAATACTATTAGCACATAAGTGAAGCCCGCATTAGTTGTTTAACGGTGTTATTTTATATGAAGATGAATTATTAGGACGTTTATTACATTATATTGTGCTACAAATAAATATTTAATACAATACCGGTGCTATTTGTTGCTTTTCGGTGCGATGATGCCTTCTAGCTGCGCCTGAAACATTTAAAATGGTAAAAATTATTTATTTTTAGTTTTTTTTGTCTTACTTTTAATTGTTGATTGGTTTTTTTAAGAAATGAAATCTCTTCAGCGTGTTTCTTCTCTTCGGCGAGTCGTAACTCGGCGGCGCGACGATCGGCCTGCTCAGCACGCTGTCTCAGATCAGCAAGTTGTCGTTCTAAATCCGTACGTTCCTCCTTCAATTCATCAACGTCCTTCTGTAAGTCGGTTTTTCCCTGTTCGGATTGCAGCGCTTTGCGCATGCCGAACGCAATGCTGCTGCAATACAATGCTTGAAACGCTTCGATTGTCATTCGCATCTCGTCACGGATGCGCAGAAGCAACAATCCGCGTTCAGCGCAGTTGATCGTCACTTGTCTTATCACCTCGTTGAAACACTGCGTGTAGAGCTCGCGTCTGATTGGACAGATACCGGTCTCGCGTGCTTGACGCTGCTGCAGTCGCATATCCAGTTGCTCCTGAAGATTCACCACGTCCTGACGTGTTGCCGGTGTGGTCGAGACGTGCTGACGCCAGAGTTGACCCTCTTCTTCCCATTCCTTCGGCGGCAGGATGGAATTCAATACTTCTTCGATTTCGTGTTTTGGATCGGCGACACCTTTGGTCTTGCAGGTTTGTATATCAACCTCTTTTGAATTGTCATCGTGTTTGGTCACTAGTAATGGGTTATCGTATTTCACCAATGTTGACTGGTCTATTATCAATCTTTCAGTCATGATTCGATGTAAAACTTGTAGAAATGTGTTGTATGCGTGTAGAAAGGCTGTAAATTCAAAATGGTTGACGTTGTTGATTTGGTAACCATGGTAATAACACGTTGCTATGGCAACACAACACAGAGCAACCTAGAAATGAAAAATCCATCGAAAATTCGAAATAATTTTTATTAAAATTACACAATTCTCAAGGAAAATTAAATTAAAACAATGTGAGTGTACGTGACCGGTGTGAAATGAGTGTGTGCGAATACAATTGGCTGAGTGATTCACATGAGTTACATTATTTTAAGTAAGTGACTAGAACTTAAGCTTAACTTTGGTCGACCATTTTGTTTTCTTTCTTCCTATATATCAGTTGCCATCATTTGATTCAATTCAACATTTTGATCATTATTTTTTGTTTGTTTTTAATTCGTTAAATACTCTAGAAATCTACGCAATATATAATAATAGTACAATGTCGTCGTTCTTTTCTATAAGCCTATGTTTAATTTTAGTAAATTGTTAGTATTAGTAGTAAAAGAAACAATCAATGGCACAAAATAAATTAGAAAAAACGGTGTGGGGCACGCGCGCTTCGCGGTTTGAATTTTAGTTATTCGTTAATTGACGTATAAAAATATCGAATATCTTAAAAATATTTAAATAGGCTCGAAGAGAATTCGAAGTTCGGAATAATTGTGAAGCGTGATAACGATGATGAGAGTAATATTGACTTGCACGTTCATTGAAACCATTCCATCGCAAATAAGAAAACATTTTGGCGCTTGTTCCTACATGAGAAGACACTTTCGTTGGCGGCGCTTTTGCGGCTCGGGCCTGAGGACGGCGCGCACCGCCTCGTCGAACACCTGCTTGAGGCCTCGTTGCGTCAGCGCCGAGCACTCCATGTATTTGACGGCGCGGATTTTATTCGCTAGCTTCTGGCCCTGCTCGCGTTTGATGGGACTGAGGCCTTGATCGGCGAGCGCGCCGAGTGTTTCTCGATCATCACGCAGATCGATCTTCGTGCCGACGAGGATCATCGGAGCGTCTGGACAGTGGTGCTTGATCTCCGGGTACCACTTGGAGGTGACGTTCTCAAAGGACGATGGCGAGGCGACGCTGAAGCAAATGAGGAAGACATCCGTCTGTGGGTATGATAACGGCCGCAGGCGGTCGTAGTCTTCTTGTCCTGCTGTGTCCCACAGGCCTAGACTTACTGAGATTCCATCCACTACCATTGGTGCTGAGTAATTATCAAATCTACAAAGTAAAACGTATAGAATTGAGGTTAGAATCACACATAACCAAATTTTTATAGTTTTCTGCAAAATTTTTACAATTCCTATGAAAATTTTAATGAAATTAATTTAAATTCACTCTCTACTTACACTGTAGGAACATATTCCCCTGGAAAACTGTCTGTTGTGTAGGAGATGAGCATGCAAGTCTTGCCGACAGTGCCATCGCCGACGACAACGCACTTGATCGGCCTGCCCGACGACATAATGCACTGCAAACAGATACTTCTTTTAACGCTGAAAATAACCCGATGAAAATACAATTTCAAACACGGGCGGATAACCTCAAAGCCGCCCGCAAATGGGCTTGGCCCGAAATCAAAACACACTCGCGATGTGCGACGCGCACGGCCGGTACTTACAATTAGATTTGAGCGTGTTGGCCTATGCTAAACTTACAAACTAGTTGGGAATTACAGCCACGATTTGGAGGGCTGCACTATGTACTAAACTAAATATTATTAAATAAATTTTATATCAGCTGCCGCAATTAACTCATTTAGCACAGAAGTGAACCGCACCGATTCACAATACTGCATTTAATTCGGTTTTGCTCGGTTAACATCGAACTTGAACGATTTTAGTTGAAAATTTTACTTGTATACATTGTAAATTATAGAAAAGTATATAAAATTAGGTGCAGATTATTTAAATATTAGTAATGTTTATGTTAAAAGTGCATATTGGGATATATTAGTTTAAATAATTAGTTTGTTCAGTCGCAAACTCAGGTGGCGCTGTTATTACAGTTGCCTGCTTCAGTAAGCGTCTTTTATTCAACGCATCCTTCTCTAACTCATTGAAAAGTATATGTTTCGGCTTTGTTTCGCCATTTTGTAAAAGCGTTTAGACGCGTTCCTGTCATTCCGGTGCGCGTTGTCGTTGTGGTTCGTTCGCCTCGTTTCGCCAGTCAATAAATCGCCGATATTTGACAAAATCGTCAAGATTTAACACAGTTTATTGTCACATTCAACTTATACTATCATGTCTGGTGACGATTCGGTAAGAATTTCCTACATTTTACTTCTATTACACGTCCAAGTATCTTGCAATGTGAAATGCGTTGTTTCACCTTGTTCGCGCCGACATTTTTATTTGCATGTTCGTTGCTTTCTCCCCGGCAGCTCGACCAAAAGCCGAACATCCAAGAACCGGAGCACTTTCGTAAGCTGTTCATCGGTGGACTTGACTATCGCACCACCGATGACTCGCTGAAGAAGCATTTCGAGCAATGGGGCGAGATTGTCGACGTCGTGGTGATGAAGGATCCGAAAACAAAGCGGTCGCGCGGTTTTGGTTTCATTACCTATTCGCGCGCACACATGGTGGACGACGCGCAGATTGCGCGACCGCATCGTGTGGATGGACGCGTGGTGGAACCCAAGCGTGCGGTGCCGCGCCAAGAAATTGGCCGGCCGGAAGCGGGCGCGACGGTTAAAAAGCTCTTTGTTGGAGGATTGAAAGATGATGTTGAAGAGGAGCATTTGCGCGAGAATTTCAAACAGTACGGGAATATTTTATCCTGTACCATTGTCACCGACAAGGAGACCGGTAAAAAACGCGGATTCGGTTTTATCGAATTCGAGGATTATGATTCCGTTGATAAAATATGCTGTAAGTTATTTATTTCATTTTTTAAATTATGGTTTATAAAAATATTAACAAATTTAATGTTTTAATAGTGAAACGCTCGCATGAAATCAACGGTAAACATGTTGATGTGAAGAAAGCTTTGAGTAAGGCTGAGATGGAACGCGCCCAAGGTTCGGGTGGTAATATGGGCGGTGGTGGCCGTGGTGGTGGTTCCCGTGGTGGCCCCCGCGGTAACTACAACAATGGCGGTGGCAATTGGAGTAACCGCGGCGGTGGTGGCCCAGGCAGTGATTGGAACATGGGTAACCAAGGATACAACTCCGGCGGTGGCGGAGGAGGAGGCGGCTGGAACAATGGCGGGCCTGGTCCTTGGGACAACCAGAACAGCTGGGGTAATTCCGGAGGTGGCGGCGGAGGCGGTGGTGGTGGACCCAACAGCTACGGTAATGGTAACAGCAACTGGGGCCCACCGAACGAAGGATTCGGCGGTGGTTATCAGCAGAACTACAATTCAAGCGGCGGCGCAATGCGTAACAACTTCCAGTCGAATCGGCCAGCACCATATGGTAATTTTAGAAAAGGTCTAGAAACAACACATCTAGCGTTTATCCTAAACATTATTTAATTATTTTTGTGTCTTTTTTCCCCCACGACAGGCAATAATCAAGGCGGTGGTGGTGGCGGAGGCTATGGCGGCGGCGGCTACAATCAAAACGGAGGCAATATGGGCGGTGGCGGCGGTCGTCGCTTCTAAATAATTTAACCGACGTAAGTTCACCGCGCACACAGAACTGAAACGAGAAAAATAGAAATTTAACACTCATATATGAAAAATAATAATAACTTAAGCTTATCTTTGGCCCCGAGCAAAGGCTTAGGATAGGATAGCTAAATATTTGACTGTGAAAATTATATTTATTATATTGATCGAGGCAAGGAAAAATCCAGGTTTTGACAAGAATCTGCAAGACGGGTTCAGATCACGCTAAGTTTAACAGCAGAGGACGTGAAGCAAGCAGGCAACCGGGCAGAGAAAGAGAAGAAATCACATTTTTTAATTTACTATTTACGTTCTATCATCTATCTTTCTAAAAACAACGTTTAGTTTATGTTAGTTATAGGCAATTTCCTAATGAATAATATTGTGTATGTGTCAATTTTTATGATATGATGACGATTAAACCATTTATCTTAATATAATCACAGGAGTTAGTTGTGTCTTATCCTATTAGTAGTGAGAGAGACAGACAGAGAGTGAGGGTGTAACAAGAACAAGAGAGAGCTAATTGTTAGTGAAGGATGCAGTTATTCTGTTTGCGCTTGAATTTTAGGTATGTATAGCATAAGTCCATTCTGTTGTAATACCACAAAGCTATTTTGATTGTTGAGCTCAGGTTGCGAGACGTGCTCACAGATAAACAAAGGCACTCGGTGGTTTATTTATCTGCTGGGCATGTGACGAGATGTTAGCGCTAGGCTCGAATAACCTGGGTTATAGGTAGTTGGTAGTATTTGATTTTGATTTCATTGTTTTATTTATTTTCTACCTTCAATCAATTTACTATACACACAACCATGTATATTCTTTGGTGTTGTGTTGTTGTATCGATGCTGTGGTCATGGTGATCATGATTGTCCTATGCCTACGGTATTGATGCGCTCATCTTTTTGTTATATATTTTTTTATCTCTTGAACTAAATTGATTTATTCGACGTCTATCGGCGTGTTGCATTAATTGTTTTTGTTTTTGCTGCGTTTGTGTGCTCATTCTATACACATTATTGATGTTTCGCAGATCTGATGGCCGCCTATGGTTGTTTATTGGAATGCAAGTGCAATTTTGCGTCGTAAGTATGAGTAATGTCCGTATTTCTTTCTATTGCAGCTAATATTTAAGACTGATTTTAATAAAAG